AAGGTGGATGTCGCCATCAAAGTACAAATAAGTCGCTTGTATATAAGCTTACCCACTTTCTATCACTTCACTAAAGTATTCATGGTATACTAATGCCTCACTTTGTGACAATCCACATAGGCTGAAAGTGGAGAGATGGAAAAATAAATGCAATTCTAATATGTCACAAATAGGAGAAAATGAGAAGATCCCAAGAACTCTACCAAAATACTTCTAGAATTAATAAACAAATAAAGTAGCATAGCCAGATTCAAAGTCAACACTAAAAAATCAATAGCATTGCTTTACATACCAACAAACTCCCCAAGAGTGAAATTAGGGAAACCACACCCTTCACAGTAGCATCCAAAAAAATTAAATGCTTAGGAATCCCTCCAACAAAAGAAATAAAAGACCCACACATTGAAAATTACAGAACTGTGAAAAACCAATTGAAGAAGTTATCAGACAATGGCAAAATATCCTGTGCTCATGGTAAGAAGGACAAACATTGTGAAAAAGACCATACCCCCAAAGCTGTTATAAAGATTTGACATAGTCCAAACTAGTATACCATTTGCCTTTCTCATAAATTTACACAAAGCATTTCTAGAATTCATTTGGGAACAGAACAGAACTAGAATAGAAAGGCATTCATGAGCAACCAAGGCAAGGCATGAGGCATCACAATCCCTGTCTTGAAACTCTACTACAATGCTTCTGGATAAAATCAGCAAACAGCAGACCTGAAGATAAATGCAACAGATTAGAAGATGCAGAGACAACTACAAACACACATATATCTTATCTTTGACAAAGCAGCAAAGTATATTCATTGGAAGAAGGATAGCTTCTATAATAAATGGTGCAGGAAAACTTGGCTTTCCACATGCTGAAGACTAAAACTAGAACCATGTCTATCACATGCACTAAACTAAAGTCCAAAGGGATCAGAGATCTAAATATTAAAACAGAAACAAAAATCTACGGAAAGACAAAATAAGTAGAAGTCTTGAAGATACAGTTGTAGGCTGAGAGTTCATAAACAAAAACCAAACTGCATGGGTGATATTTTGAAGAATGGATACCAGGGATCTCATCTTATTAAAAGGTTTTTGAACATTAGAAGAAATCAACAGAGTAAAAAGAAAACCAACAGAGTGGGAAAATTTTAGCCACTTGTGCCTCAGACAAAGGAATTTTATGCAAAAAATATAAAGAAATGAACAAAAATTCAGGCTCCTGAAATTCAAAGACTCAATTCAAATATGGGTATCTGAGATAAATGTATACTTCTCAGATGAAGAAATATAAATGGCAAATATGTATATGAGAAAATGTTCAGCAAAATTGGTCACTTGAGAAATGCAAACTTAAACAGCACTGAGATTCCATCTCACTCCAAAAAGAATCGCTATTATGAAGAAATCAAACAATAACAAATGCTGGAGTGGGTGTGGCGAAGGAACTCTTCCCACTGTTGGTGGGAATGTAGACTGGTACAATCACTGTGGAAATCAGTGTGCAGATACCTCAAATAACTAGGATTATAGGTGCCATTCAACTAAACTATGTTCCTTCTGGATATTTTCCCAGAAGAATTAAAAACACAGCAATATGTGTGCAACCATGTTTATAGCAGCACAATCTGCCATAGCTAAATCTTGGAAATAACCCAAATGCCCATGAACTGAAGAATGGAATAAAAGATGTAGTATTGTTATGCAAAGGAGTACTACTCAGCTCGAAAGAAGGACAAACTTGAGGCTTTTATTGGTAAATGAATGCAACTAGAAATCGTGCCCATAAATGAAGTAAAGCAAACTCATATGTGTAAACACCATAGTGTCTCCCAAGTGTAATCAACTGAAAAAGTAAATAAAACCCAAAATCTACAATAGATACTGTCAAAGGGAGAAAAAATGCTCAAAAAGAAAGAAAAACTGGAATGAGTGAGAGGAAAAAGGAAGGATGGGAAAGGAAAAAATATATATGACAGATAAAATAGTTATCTATTGACATCTCCATTTCATTAAAACACGTTTTTTGTGCTTATTTTGTTAGGTCAGTTATGCATTCCTATGTCTTGTAATCTGAGCAACTAGTTTGAATGTATTGATACATAATATATTAACCATTGTTAATCTCTTATTGTCTTGTACTGAAATTTGTATTATTACTTTTCATTATTTTTCACTTATTCCACTTTAAAATAAAATTTGGAAAAAGAGAAAATGTGTGGCTTTACTTCCATAGAAGAAAAGAAGTTTCTTTTTCTTTTTTTTTTTTTTTCCAGGAATCAAATTCAGGACTTTCTCCCTCCCAGGCATGTGCTTGTGCCACTGAGATATATCCCAAACCCTATGAATTCTGAAGCTTTATTTATATAGAAGAAAAAAGTTAAAATCAAAGTTATTACAATAAAAATAGAAAAAAGCAACTAGATATTGAGAAAAAAATCAAAGGAAGTAGAAACAGCAAGTGCTGTGACTAGATTACTTCTAATAG